GGAGGAGCGCCCTTGGGGTGGGCTGGGGGTGGAGATCAGGGAGAGCGCCCTCGGGCTGGGCTAAGGGGGTTGCGAGGTGAGCGCCCTTGGGCTGGGAGGGGGAGATCCGGGGTGAGCGCCTCGAGGTGGGCTAAGGGGGATCCGAGTGAGCGACCTTGGGTGGGGGGTGGAGATCCGGGGTGCGCGTCCCCGGGCTGGGCTAAGGGGGATCCGAGTGGGCGCCCTTGGGATGGGAGGCGGAGGTCCGGGGTGAGCGCCTTCGGGGTGGGCTGGAGTGGATCCCGGGCGCCCTTGGACTGGGGAGTGGAGGTCTGGGGTGAGCGCCCTCGGGTGGACTCAGGGGGATTCGGAGCGCCCTTGGGCTGGGGAGTGGAGATCCGGGGTGGGCACCCCCGGGGTGGGCCGGGGGGGACACTAGGTGAGCGTCCTCGGGGTGGACTTGGAGGAGGGACCCAGGGTGAGTGCTGGGGGTGTCCGGTGTGAGCGTCCCCAGGCTGGCTGGGAGATCGGGGTGATCTGGAGGATATCCGGGGTGACTGCCCTTGGGCTGGGCTGGGGGGACATGAGGTGAACGTCCCCCCGGGGTGGACTTGGAGGAGGGACCCAGGGTGAGCACCTGCCGGGGTGGGCTTGGAGGAGGGATTAGGGGTGAGCGCCCACCAGGGTAGGCTGGTGGGTGGATCCGGGGTGAGCACCCCCAGGGTGGGTTTGGAAGGGGCACCGAGAAGAGTGCCTCCCGGGATGGGCTTGGAGGAGACCTGGGGTGAGGCCCCCCAGGATGGGCTGGGGAGGCTCCTGGGGTGAGTGCCTGTGGGGATGGGCTTGGAAGGGGGACTGAGGTGAACACCCACAGGGTGGGCCTGGAGGGAGGACCTGGGTTGAGCACCTGCTGGAGTGGGCTTAAAAGAGGGACCTGGGGTGAGTACCCTTTTGGGTGGGCTTGGTGAGGTCTGTGTTTCTCACTCTGTCCTGAGCAGGGTCCCCCGTACTGCCAGCAAACTCAGCCTGGAGAAGGCTTGGCTGCTGCAACCTACTGGGGATTAAATGAGCGATTGTGACAGCAGTGGCTTTAACTGACCACACTCGACGGTGTCATCACTCAGGTCTTTGAGGTGGTCTAAGCTGCCGTGCCTGTGAAGGCATGCTCCCACCACGGTCAGCACTTCCCTCACCCTGCACTGCAAGGAGTCGAGTGGCGCTTATTCTTGGCTTAGGAAAAACCCACCAGAAAGCCTCCGTGCACTGTTGATTTGTGATGACCTTTTTTTTTCTGATGCGGTGGGTGTGCTCGTGTGCCGTTTCCTGTGCCCTTGATGATGCCTGTTCGGTTGCTCTGTGGCTGACAATGAAGAGCAATGTCAAGTGCAGCCGGTGCTGTTCAGCAGCACCTTCTGTGGTGACGACAGGGTTCTGTCTCTGTAGGGTCCGGTGCGGGACCCGCTGGCCCTCTGTGGCTATGTAGCACTTGAAAGGCAGCCAGTGTCACCGAAGAGCCGGATTTTACATTGTTTTTAGTTTTAACTTATGTAGCTGCATGGAGGCGGCCAGTCAGGTCTCAACAGAACATTTTCAGGTGTTTGTCATGCATCCTAACGTGTCAGGGGCTGGCCTGCCTGTTCCAGGCAAGGTGTTCGGTGCTGGGAAACCCTGGGGGTAAATGACGGGGTTGCTGTCACTGCTGACATGAAACAGGTGTCCTTTAAGTGATCACAGGAGTCACTGTAATGTTCCTTAGTGCTTAGAAGGAGGACCAAGTGGTGCTTTAAGAGCTTTTGACCATGAGATTCGGGGAAGGCCTTCCTGAGGAAGCACTGGTTCAGCCGAGGCTGTCATAAGCATGGTGAATGGTAGCAGGGAGGACAGTCGGGACAGAGGGAGCATCGAAGAGGGGCCCCGGCGTTTTAAAGGCTGCGCCAAGGCTGCCTCAGCTGAGGTCGGAGTAGCAGAGAGGACTGGCTTTGGGAAAGCAACAGCAGACACATGCTGTGTACGGTGGAGTTCAAGCACAAATGAAACCCTGCCCCATCGTAGGGAGCTTCCAGCGTAACGGGGAGATGGACAGGCAGGCAGGACCCTCGTGGCATCTGCGTGGGGGCTGTGGGGGCAGAGACCGTGCTGGGTTTGCGGAAACGTCAGGGAAGAGGTTTTTCGGTCTCCTAAGTCAACTGATTTTTATTTTTAGCTTTAATCCCTGATGAAAACACTCATGAGGAATGCATCGTGGTTGGACGTTTCCCAGTAACGGGTCCCTGGTGGCGAGTGAAGGTGCAAGTGACGCCTGTGGGCTCCGGGAGGTATCAAGTTCAAGGATTTCCATCTTACTTTTTACAGGCGGACATGTCACCACCAAGTCAAAAAAACATCTGTTCTCTCTTTCTTAAAGAATGTGAGGTCCCCAGGGATGTTATTGATAGATTTTTGGCATGGGTGAATAAGGTATCAAGCTATAAAGACCTAAACTTTGAAAATCTTGGAGAAACATTCAGAACTTTCCAAAAGGAGACAAGAAAGCAAGCTAAGAAGCAACTTGTACAGAAAGAACAGGAAGAGTTATCAGATTCTGAGATCTGTCTTCCTCTGAAAAACCCAAGTAAGTGTGATTTTCACCATCAAGTTTAAGTGTGGTTGGGATAATGACTAGCATGTTTAAAGTAGTCCCACCGTGGTGTCTTGCGTGGTGTTCCTTCGTTAAGTGGTTTGATGAGAAATGTGTTTGTGTTGGAGTGTGACATTGGCATTTAAGGTTTCTCAGGAAGGGATTTTTTTTTTTTTTTTTTTTTTTGGAGTTGGAGTCTCACTCTGTCACCCAGACTGGAGTGCAGTGGCCACTCCCGGCCACCACAGCCTCAACCTGCTGGGCTCCGGCGATCCTTCCGCCTCAGCCTTCCAAGTAGCCAGAATTACAGGCATGCGCTACCATGCCCGGCTTTTTCTTTGATTTATTGTAGAGATGAGGTCTCGCCAAGTTGCCCAGGCGGGTCTCAAACCCGTAGGCTCAGGCAATCCACTCACCTCAGCCTCCCAAAGCGCAGGATTACAGGCTGAGCCACCGAGCCCGACTGTAAACAACTTTTTTATCCTTAGCTTTAAATATACCTTTAGATAATTTAGTCACAATTTTTATTCAGATTATATTGCAAGCAACAGGAAACAAAAGGCTCAGAAGTAGGTATTTAAGCATTTAAAGAACACACATTTTGGAGTGAAATGCAATGAAAACCATCTCAGGACAAAAATGATTGTCATAGGATCGATTTTCTTACTGGTTAAAGTTATTTATTAATCTCTCTTTGACTTAGATTTCTTGAATTGGTTGTGCTAAAAGCGAGGTCCTTCTGATCGATTATTCCTTGGGCTCATTTGTGTGTTTTACTCTGTTATTTCTGATATCCTCTAGTTCCGTATATACAAGTGAGGACAGCTTTGCAGTTTCCGAAAATAATGGAATTCCTTCCGGTTCTTTTGCCCCGACACTTCAAATGGCTCATAAACTCTGGTTCTAAAGAGGTGTTGGAAGACATAGAAGAGATTTTAGGTACGCATCCGTGGAAACTTGGATTTAGTAAAGTAAGTAAGACGTTTGTGTGGCATTTAGTAATCTTACGGAAGGCAGGGTTTCTCCAACTGGACAATTTTTGCATCTCTTTCAAAGGAAAGAAGTGCGTGGATCCCAGTGTTCGAGTTTTGCCGACTGAGTGTTGCAACTCTACATCAACTTCTTAGACCTGCTACAGTTCTTATGCAGCTAGCAAGTGAATACATTTCTCACTGAAAAACAAAATTGGAAAACGGATGGTCTTGAGATTATCAGTATAAGTATAATTATGCGATTTAGCCTGGCAGATGTCTTGCTGCAACTTAGCTGTCGTTGTCACTTGGAGGTGGGTCTCACTGAAGTCAGAGCTCCTCTGAGTTCGGCAAGCCCTTCTGCTGTTCACCTTAGCGTCCCGCTTTCCAATCTGGACCAGCGAAGCTGGCGTATTGTGGTCTCACTCAGGCTCTGTTTGGACAGCAGCATCGTTTACATATGGGTTCCCCTCCGTTCTCACGGTTGGGGGCCTAGAGTGGTAGAGGGGCACGCTGGGCCCTAGGGTTGGAGCCAAAGTGTGGCTTCGGTCTTGGCAGTTCTTGGTTTTCCAAATGAAGATACAGTTAAGAAATTCTGAGACCCCCTCCTCCCCCGAGAATGTTTACATAGAGAAATACTGTGTTAAGGAATTTGTTCCTCATAAAAAAAGTCTGTAAGCTCAGTATGCTTTGGAAGATGAGATTCTGGGACATCAGATTCTTATACCTTTTTATTCAGTGGAGTAGGGGGCAGAACAATGAGATTTGGGAGGCGGAGAATGAGAGCAGCTTACCTTTTTGGTAAAAGAAAGCCCTGTAAAATCTAGCCTTCTTTTTTTTTTTTTGAGTTGGAGTCTCACTCCGTCACCCAGACTGGAGTGCAGTGGCATGCTCCCGGCCACTGCAGCCTCGACCTGCTGGGTGCCGGTGATCCTTCCACCTCCGTCTTCCGAGTAGCCGGAATTACAGGCATGTGCTACCATGCCCGGCTGATTTTTTTTTTATTTATCGTAGAGATGAGGTCTAGCCAAGTTCCCCGGCGGGTCTCGAACCCACGGACTCAGGCAATCCACTCACCTCAGCCTCCCAAATGCTAGGATTACAGGCTGAGCCACCAATAGCCTTCTTGATAGATACATTAAGATGAGAACTTTAGAGGTCTAAAAACTTTTGCCTGTCTACTTTCAAGAATCAATTATTTGAAACATTATTATTAAAAATACACATTGTTAGCCGGGCTCGGTGGCTCAGCCTGTAGTCCCCTGCGCCTTTGGGAGGCTGAGGTGAGTTTATTGCCTGAGCCCGCGGGTTCGAGACCCGCCTGGGCAG